CTCCTATTTTTGCAAATATATTACAAAATGATGAATATGCAACTTTTATTTCGATAAAATTTTTACAAAATAATAGATACGCAAATTTTGTCTAATCTAAAAGTCAAAAAAAATGTAATCAGAAATTAGTGATTACTTTTTTTTTTTAATGATCAAATTTCACATAATTTTGCAAACCGCAATAATAATAATACTGAATATAAATCTGATAAAAATTTTATTAAAGAACTAATTAAAATAAAACCAACTAACCGATTAATCGATTAATAGTTAATCGATTAATCGATTAGTTGGTTAATCGATTAATAGTTGGATCAAAATTGTTAATCGATTAGTTGGTTAATCGATTAATAGTTGGATCAAAATTGTTAATCGATTAGTTGGTTAGTCGATTAATAGTTGGATCAAAATTGTTAATCGATTAGTTGCCAACTCAGCCAACTAACCGATTAATCGATTTTCAAGTAGAAAATTATTAATAATTGTGGGGGCTGATGCTGAAAATTGGGGTCTCTTTAAATCTATAAAACCTACTAAAATTCACATCTACTTTTTTATTAATAAATACTACTCCCTAACCCTAACCTAACTATGAAAAAAAAGACTACAAAAAAGGCCCGAAAAAATTTTACAATTTTATAATAAAATATGAAAAATTTTCAGCATCATCCGATTTCAGCATCAGCCCCCACAATAATTATAGATGTTTTTTTTTATCACTCTTCGTTTATATTAATAGTTCGTTTATAATAATAGAATCGCTAATTATTATTGTAAAAAGGCCGGAAATGGATTAGATGAGAAATTAGTCGAGGTATAATTTGTTGACTCAAAAGTGATGCTTACAATGTCCCATAGCGAAAATTTTTTTTTTTTTGACATTAGATACAATGCAAATTGATCGAGGTTGGTTCTAATATTGCAACTCCACGAAGTTCTTCTAACGAATCTAAATTATGTAAGTGAAGGGTGTAATAAATATTCCACGGTAAATTTAAAAAATATTGACAATTTTTTCATTTCATCATTAAGCCCATACATCTTTCGATGATGAAATTGTTACAACTTTGGAATCTTGGATTGATCATTATGATTCTGTAAACACATGCACATTCTTTTATTTTAATTATTGTCGCGGATCATAATTTAAAATGAAATCTACATTTTCTACTCAATCTGTTAACCTTCTAAAACTCACTTATACTTGTTTATTATAACTTTACTTTAAAACCAACCCCTAACCCTAACCCCTATCTCTAAAAAATGCACTCCAAAAAATTTTATTTTTCGAGATTTTATATTATAATTTCATTTTGATCTGGATTTCATTATGATCCATCACAATTATTGATATCATTCGAAATTATAAATTAGATTCAGTACACATCAGGAAATTTTAAAATTAGATTATAATCGATTAAAATCTAAGGATTTTAAACGATTCTTATCACCACCGTCGATTAAAATCAATTTGATTTTCATTAATATATATAGAAATAAATCATTGCTATCGATTATAATCAATTGATATATATAGATTTATATCAATTACCATTATTATTAATTTTGATATGAATCGATTATCAACACCACCGTCGATTATAATTAATTAACTGTTTGCAACCAGGCTTCAAAATTTCCTGATGCAAAAATCTTATTTTATTTCGGTCGCTAAACAAATTACGCGTTCTTTTTACTAGCAACTTCCTCCATTGAAAAATTTCATTTTACCTTCGGGTGGTGAGAGTGCTGTATTTTTGCATCAATGTCGTTCGGTTTGTAATTGTAATTCTTTAACAAATCATTGAATAGCTCAATGCTCTTACTAAATATACTAATTTCTTTATAGATATGTCGTAGAGCTGAACGTATTACAGTACCATTGATTGAAGCAAAAATTGCTGATAATGCTGTTGGAAAATATTTGAATAGGTAATTTATGATTTTTCTTTTACTACGCTATATTCTTCTATTTTGATGGTATGTAATAAATAATTTATATCATACTTTCGCTAGGTTAAGCGATTTCTTTTTTGTGGCTGCTAGATATGCTGCTATGTTCGAAAATCATACAGAAAACATCTATCAACAAAGAAGGCAGGATAAACCTAGTAATTTAGTGGCAAGGGATATGAAGAAAGAGTAATATGCTATAAAAAATAACTAACATGTGACATGCTTAGTCGGTTGTAAGTTATATGATTATAATTAAAAGAAATATATTATTTGCTGATAGTATTTGCTATTATGTAACGTGTTTTTTAAAAATTTCCGAAAAATATTAATACCGTAAAGGGTCATATAAAAGATCCTATATATCAGATCCCCATGAATTAGACCCGGGCGCGAATTACAGGATCTACATTAATCAAGCCCGGTTTTTTTGAGTATATACCTTTTTGGTACGGTACAGTGTTGGGTATTGGGTACGGTACAGTATATTTCTAAAGTACCTATATATATCTAGTAATTTTTGTGTACCT